TTATGAATTGATTCGGAGACAGTAAACTGTATTATGATTGATTATGAAAAATCACATCGGGTTGTAAAAGAATCTTTTACAATACTATAGAAATCTTAGAAAACAATTGTGAAGTTTATGTGATTATATACTCTTTTGATATCGAATATTAAGAAATTGATTTATTTCAATTCTAATACGAGTGACGATAATAGAAAATTTCAACATAAACGTTGTGGTGACATAAAATATTGTGTACGAGTATAGTTTATTGCAAGCAATTAGAATGTAAATAACTATTAATTAATATTTTTATCAATAGTGAATGGAAGCTAAATTAATCAAAATTAATGACTTCAATAGAGAAATAAACATGTTTGACATATTCTTAGATTCATTAGGATGTCATGAATAATAATAGAATCGATTTCCTAATGGAGCTTATTAAAATTTACATTAATTAAGAGTAGTAAAAATTTCATAATGAAACTAAAAAGACGATTGTAGTTGTCACCAATTGTAGTATAATAATATAAACTAGAGAAGAAAGCGATACAAGCAATAAGTTGACCCTAATATTAAAAAATAATTAGAAGCTGGCAGTATGGGTGAATTGAAGATAATTTGTTTGTAGTGTTTTTAAATCATGAAATAACAGTATTATTGATAATACAAAATCGATAGATCAAATAACGGATAAAATTATTGAATGTATATGCCGTTAGATGGTCTGTAATCTATAACGACTCGCCATCTTTTATTACCTTGCGAATCTGGTTTCTTAGGCACGATCCAAACCGGACTATTATAAGGAGACTCAGAAGGCTCAATAATGCCTGTGTCGAGTTCCTCTTTAATTTGCTTTTCAATTTCTGTCTTTAAAAATTGAGGTGTACGATATTGTTACACTGTTATAGGAATATCTGAAGTAGTAGGTATTTTATGATTGTATACATCTGTTGACCCTAGTGGTTCATCTGGAATATGAAACCGATCTGCATATTTTTTTTTAATTTTTTCAACATGTTTTCTTTCTTCTTCGCCTAAATGGCTTAATCTCAATAACTTTATAATTTTCTTAAATCTTTTATCATTTTTAAAATTTTCAACAATTGACAAAATTTTTTCCGTATTAAAATTTTTAAAATTTAGTTCATTAAAATCTGATTGAGTTTCAATTTTACAATCTCTATTGCATGCGGAATACCTAAAGTATCAGGAATCACATGACATACAGTCTCTTTATTAAATAATTTAACTTTTACACTTCCGAGCGTCTTTATTGGTACATTTGCAATACCGTGCAATTTAATAATTTTACTTTTATCAATTGTCGTGTTGACTGCTTTAGTTGCTTCTACTTGACCGAGTGAAGTTCCAATAACTATGAAAAGTTTTGGATGCTCAGTCTTCAATAATTTGAGACCACATGAGTCTTCAGTTTCAATTAACGAGTTCACTCGATTCTGATATTTTCGTTAAATCACCGATACCCGAATTAACAAACTTGAAACTTTTAGGACTCGTGGGCGGAGCTAAACCTTCAGGATATAGTAAGTCACCGGTACTTCTCAACAAATAGCCTTTTTTATTATTATCAGATGATCCAGAATTATCAGACATTTAAACTATTTCTCCATAGAAGATCATTGCAATCACGGACGAGCCCCCAAAAATTGTTATGTAATTTTGCTCTTTAAAGGTGTCAATATGTAAACCATATGCTTAACCTTAGAGACTTCAAGTTCCTTTTTTTAGTCCTAGCCTTATGGAAGGGCGATCAACGGTGGATGCGATACTGACGGTGCGAAGAGCGGTGCAAGAGTCCACGGAACGTAACGTGGTTGCATTGCTCTTCGATATCTCAGGCGCGTTTGACAATGTATGGTGGCCCCTAGTCCTCGAGGGACTAAAATCACAAAATTGCCCCAAAAATATCTCCAAGGTAATACAAAATTACTTTACAGATCGTACAGTTAGCCTATCATGGGGAACTGGCTCAACCACAAAAGGGGCCACGCGTGGATGCCCTCAGGGATCTGTGCTTGGCCCACTGTGTTGGAACATCATGTTCGATGATCTCCTGAAAACACTTGATCAGTCTGAACATGGAAAACGATATGCAGCGTACGCGGATGATCTAATCGTCATCATTGATGGCAATTTAAGGAAGACGCTTGAAACCAAAAGACAGGCAGTCGTTGACACAATACTCAATTGGTGCAAGAATGCCAAGCTTGAGCTGTCGAAAACGAAGACGGAAGCAATCTTTATGAAGAGAGAAGTAATACTCAGAGGCAAGAGAAATTACAGAGACAAAAACAATCCCAACTACAGAGAATATAAGCCACATCTAAGAAGAAAGAAAGACAGGCATGAATGTAAACCGCCTTAGATCACAATAGAGGGTAACAGGATAAATTACCCAGAAGCGGTTAGGTACCTGGGGGTCTGGTTCGGCAGAGACCTTAACATCTCCATGCATATTCATAAACGACGGGCGCAAGCGGAAAAGTTATTCCACAAAATAAGACGCCTTTCGCGAATGCGTTGAGGACTTACTTATCATACCTGTCTAACCCCATATAGACGGTGCTTCCTGCCAGTAATTGCTTACGCGTCCCCGGCATGGAGCGATTTGTGCAATGCTAAAGACTGGTTGACGCTTGCGGCCGCACAGAGGAGCGTCTTGGGAGTGGTTGCGCATGCTCGCGCATCCACCCCGAGGGACGGCCTCTGCGTGGCGATGGGCGTCCCGCCTATACGCATAGCGATTAATAATCTTAATGCGCGATATACACTTCGTACCGACGAAGTAGTAACGTACAACGGCACTAGAATCTCCCTAAACGACAATACGTCAGGGGAGACGTCGACGCCGATAATGAACCTCAGATTGCAAATGATAAAAATATGGCAGGCAGAATGAGATGCATCTGAGACGGGCCGCAAAACATATCACATCTTCCCGAACATAGCAGACAGGCTCGATAATCAGTGGATACGCCTAAACAACATAATGACACCAATATTCACAGGACATGGTATATTCCGTGCACACCGTGCACAATACGCCACCGAAGCAGATCCAACCTGCCCTAATTGCAATAGGGGAGATGAAGACACAGTGGAGCACTTCCTGCTGCACTGTCCCGCATATAGAGACAGACGCACGAGTCTCATGGCGGTCATACATTCAGAAACGAATGTTGACCTCAGATCGACATGGTCTGAAATAGCGCCAAAATTTGTCCAAACGGAGGACACATGTAGGGCCCTCGGACAATTTGTCAAGTCATGCGGGGAAGAGAAATTGTTCGAGGAAGTTAGAAGAATCCGCAAGGCGGTAAGAGACAAAAGGAGGGTAGCGCGAACTGGAGCGGCAATGCCCAGCACACAGAGCACACAGAACCCTCCACCCCGCAGAAGTAGCAGGTCATTACCATTACCAGCGCCGTAAGAAAACATAGCTCGGGTACTTCATTGATCCACACCTGGGTGTTGTCGGAGCACCTAGGCACAGGTTGCAGGCCTGCAATCTTCGCAGAACACCTAAAACCTGTGGATCATACGGATAGGGATTATCACTTAACAATCCTCAACAAACACTAAAACAAAACAATGATAAACTTTAAACTTTAATATATTTCAGGAAACATTAAAACTAACCACTTTTTTTTTCTTTCAGCTGTAGGCAATATAACGGTGCTCCCCTCACACCATAAACAACTGGGGCCGCCGACCAAAGCGCATAAAACTGGTACTACGGGAAACTGAAATCCAAGCCCGCATCCGGAGCTGCAAAGTCGAAAAACGATATGTAGAGAGCCGGGTGTTTTCGGTCAATTGAGGTTGGACTCGTAGTGGTATGTTGTAAGACCTTGGGCTCGATGCGTGTATCCTCGTGCCTTTATAAAGGCGCAAGAATATCACGTCCCAAGTAACACCGTCACTAGAAGTAGAGTCATCCCCAGAGTTATGCCCTATAAGGCGAGGTACTCAAACAAAATGTCCTTCTCAGGACAGGGAAACATGGTGATTTTAGTCTTACCCTTTCGACCAATAGACAGGGATGAGGGGATCTTCGATAGAGAAAGAACAATAACAAAATTTTATTGAATAAAAATTATTGAAAAATTATAACAACAATTTAAACGTTACCAACAGATGATTTCTTTTACTCTGGTCGAGATGAATAACCATTAATTGATCCTTAGTCGATGCTCCAGTCAGCGCAATTATTCACTTTTACTCACGAATTAATTTAAATATCATTTAAGAATAATTTGACGATCAAATAAACTTCATACCAAAATTTACAAACGTTGAAATATTATCAATACAATACTCAAGACAAAACGAGACTTACGATTTCAAGAGATGTTCTACGACGATCTGATCTCGATCTTACTTTTTCGACAACTGACTGATGCATCGAACCTTACATATTTATTTAGTCGAATGTGACATAATTAGAAGTCCCTTGCTTCAGGCGCGCACAAGTCCCTCCGCATGGTCTTTCCCTTTTTGGAAAAGCTAACGCTCTTCTTATGTCACGTACTCTTTTTTTAAAGTTTTATTGCTTTTCGCCACGTGGGTTTTCCAAAAGCAATCAAATATCGAAAAAATGACTTCCTCAACTATTCTTCGAAATCCTTTCTATTTTAACGAAATCTTAGGAAAACTCAAAAAAAATAACTTGAGTAATAATCGTTAACCTCAATCCTTAAGGTTTATTGCTATTCATTTTTAGCTTCTCTTAAAATATATTTTAGATAATTATGTGAAATATTTAAAATACATTCAGACATTACATTATGTTGTGACAAAATTATAATTTACCGAATTATTATTATGTCTGCACATCAATTTAATTCATTTTGTCAAATTTTGGCATGATATTAAATCCTTCTATTTTTGTTACATAATAATAATTATTTTATTTTTTTTATGTCCTGACATAATTTTTATTCATTTTAATGATGAATGATTACCATTTGATGTTATTTTTTTTTAACCCATTAAATAGTCAAACGGCGTGCCATAAAAAGTGGTGTCCAACCACTCTTATTGAGAGCTTCAATATTTGCATTATGTTTTAGCAATAATTGTATTATTTGGAGAGCTGTTTCAGATTGCGATGCACAAATAAAGTGAAGAGCTGTTTCACCATCCCGATCCGTTACAATTGGATTAGCATGATTTTCTAAAAGACATTTAACTGCTGCAATATCTCCAAAGCTACAAGCTACAAAAAGTGGTGTCCAACCACTCTTATTTACAGCTTCAATATTTGCATTATGTTTTAGCAATAGTTGTATTTTTTTTTTTTAGTATTTAGCTTATAAACGGAGTCGGGTATTTGACCTTCAGGATTTATATCAAAGTGATCAACTCCATTTTCCGAAAAAGTTTGTAATTGTTTCCGATTTTCATCTCCACATCCAATGTGCAAAGGTGTCATAAAGTTATTATCAGGAGAATTAACATCAGCATTATATTGTAAAAGTATTTCAATGGTCTTCAATTGATTTGCTGAATACGTTTTGCAGGCAAGAAGAAGTGGTGTGAGTCCGTTGCGGTTTAAGATGTTAACCGGGAAGTTGAGTTTCAACAACATTTTTATACATTCTGGATCGTATTTATTTTCTATCATTTTATGAAGTAGTGAATTACCATCCAGACTAATACCATAGTCTCTGGACCATGCATGTTCTAAAAGAATACAAAAAATTTCACCATCACATTATTTTCGGCAGCGAAAGAAGTTATATTAATAAATTTTGGATCTTCTAATGTCTTTGCTCCGTACCTCAACAAGATTTTTGTTATGACTAGATTCGAATTAAAAACAGAGATGTGTAAGCATGTCATATTTCACGAATGATTTGATAGAAACAAAACATTGACATCATGGATACTGTTATTAAAATACGACTGATTAATTAATATCCAAGTCTCATATGGTATTATCAGATTCACATCCGCATTATGTTTCAAAAGATTTTCAACAATCTCATCGTATCTATGTGAACAAGCCACTGTCAGAAGATTGAGTCCTGTATGTGGATTTACCATGTTAACATTAATTTCCAGTTCTAATAGTCGCAAAACAATCGGTGAATAACCTTTTTCTATTGCTGAATAAATGAAATTCTCGTTATGATGACTGCTTAGATTAATGGTGAAATTCCATTTTAACAACGCCTTAATACATACTCTGTATTGATAACCAGATCTCGTCACAAGTATTTCTGGGATATATTTGTCAATAATTTCTTGACATCCTTCAGGAAAAATGACGCTGAGATAATATTGTAAATCGATTTATGGCTTATATTGCATCCCATATTCAATGCGCATCTTGATTAAAATGGGATTATTTTGTACAGCAGATTTAACCAACAATAAAGATAAATTTTCTCCGACAAGAGCTCCTCTTTGAATAAGTATTGCTGCTGCTGCTATTCTGTAATAATCAATCACAATTCGGAGAGGTGTGTGATTTTAATGATTCTTAGCATATATATTGGCTCCTTTATCAAGTAATAATAATATGATATCCAAGCCTACATTATTGTAAATGGCCTAAAATTGTCCTTTTTTTATTATACTTTTTGCACTGACGGAACACACCAACTATTATATAACTCAATATTGTACGGTTTCACCGAAAAATGTTGTTTTGTTTTAAAAAGGAGCTTTATTTGAAAAAGAAAACACAATATAATTAAGTAGGGCTAAAATCCCTTACAAAGACCTTAATGATAATTTATAAAAGTTGGCATGCGCCTCCGGGGCGGTCTCACCATCAAACAACTATGATATTAAGATATGCTTACGCAAGTTAAAATATAATTAGTGCTACCAATTAACTGGTGATGATCTATTACAATGTGTGGAAAAAATTTTAAACAACCAAACAGACATGTTATCACGCCTCAAGGGCAGAAAGAGCTTAATACTAATACCTACAACTACTTAAACCTATTCTAAGACTAAGAAATATATACATATGTACAGAGAAATGTTCAACATTGGGCTCAATGTCTTCTTCTGCGATGCCCAGCTCTGGGTCTGTTGGCTTGTTGCTGGTTTGCTCTCCATCTGGCTCTCCTCCTAATATCACTGATAAATCTATCATCATCTGTCAACCACCAATACTTATCATTTATCCTGCCTGTGTAAAAGAGGTCATTATCTGAAAGGCATGACGAGTAAACTTTCTTGCCCACAATATTATTATTACCATCTAGGGGAATGGGTTTGTGCGCACAGTGTCTGCTGGTGTGGTATAGGATTGGAGTGTTCCGCTCATCTTGAAACACTCCGATCTTATCAAGATATGTAAACAGCTCTGGTGGAGTGTAGCCAGTTCTAGCCATTCTCTGGCATTCTGCTGTGTTCTCGCAGACCAGCTTTTTTGTGATGTCATTTTTAACCTTCTTGATGGCGGCAAAGAAATTTCTCGTTAGTTTCAGTGTGTGGATGTCAAATCTTTCGATATTTGCAGTGTTATAGAGATGTTTGTTTGAAATTCTCAACAGGTAACCGGAGTCTGCGGATCTCCATTGGTTGATGCAGGCTCTCAGGCAGGATCTTTCGAACTTTCGATATTGTTCTACTGTAGAAGCCGCCATATTCCACAGCACAGGGGCCGCGTATGTAATAATTGGTCTCACAATTAGTTGATAGCAGATAGTCTTGGCTTTAGCTTCGAGGTTCTTATTGTAGTATATTCTAGAGTTAGCTCGAAAGGCTTTTTTTGCTTTTCCCAGTTGTATGGCATGGTGTTTATACATTCTCAGTAGGTAGTCAAAATTGACTCCGAGATATTTAACTATCTCCCTAGTTGGTATAGGAGTAAAGAGCAGCGAACCCTGAGTTCTGATTTCTATAGAGAAGGTTTTGATGTCCTGTACCGTAGAGTAGGGAATCTCATTTACAGTTCTCCTGAATAAGATGGCTTCACACTTAGCTGGATTAATTCTCAGATTCCATTCCAGGTAATATTTATTAATATTGTTCAATGTATCATTCAGTTTCTTATTGATGATATTGATTTTGCGATCACTGTAATAAATAACAAGGTCATCTGCATAGGCAATCGATTGGACTTCCCTTTCTTCATTCATATTGAATAGGTTGAGGATCTCGCTATTGAAGATGTTAAAAAGCAGCGGTGAGGTCACAGTACCTTGTTGGAGACCTTCTAGGATGTTAAATGACCCGGTCGAAGTACCTATACCATTCCAGGTAATGAAAGATTTTCCATGCACCATATCCAGGATCAGCAAGGTAAGAAATTGTGGAAAGTTTGCACTTATGAGCTTGTAGATTAGCCCGTCCAGCCAAACGGAATCAAAAGCCTTTTCCAGGTCGATGAGAACTGCCCCTACCAGCTTATTATTTAACACAGCTTTGTTAATGTCCGATGAGAACTTAGTTATTGCGTGCATTGTGGAGTGGGCTGCTCTGAAGCCGAATTGATTGTCCGGAATTATTTTATGCTCCTCAATATGTCTAATAAGATGTTCTTTGATTAGTTTCTCAAAAAGCTTGCTGATGTTAGAGGTTAAACTTATTGGTCTATAGCTGGTTGGATCAGTGGGGTCCTTGCCCTTTTTCAGGATTGGAATAACTCTCGCCTGCTTCCATCGTCTGGGATAGTATGAGTGGTTCAATGCATTGTTGAATAGTGTTGTGTAGTCCATGACTAGCTCCGTAGGTAATTTTCTAATGACAATCATAGGGATACCATCTAATCCTGAGGATAACTTATTCTTTGAGTACTTTATAATAGCGCCTACTTCTTCATGTTTGTGGAATATATTAGGAGAGTCATTTTCAGCCGTTGGTGTATGAGCTAGGTTATCTATTGAGAAATTGGTTATTGTAATTCCTTGAGATCTGTTAAGCCTTCGTTTATATTTGATGTCCACTAATGCCTGAGTCACTCGATCTCTTACATGCTGGTTCTCATCTGTGAATCTGGGGGAATTTATATTTTCAAAATGCTTCCCAATGACATCCAGGATGTTGGTGGGGTTAGAGATGTGTAACATGTTATTAACTACTGGAGCCTGTGCTCCTGCTAGATCCAGATCCGCAATAAGTGTTGAGTTGATGTCCACTTTTAAAGCCTCAATTGAGAGTGAAGACTTTGATCTTAGCGTCGAGTTGATGGTTGGGAAAAAGGAATTAGAGTCTCTGTAGTTGATACTTTTCACTCTAGCTGCCCAGTATGCTGTTACGGACTTATTGAATTCACTCTGGAGTAACTTATTGGTATGTTTGATTGCAGACTTGTATTCTTGAATTAAAACTTTACCAGCCCCTGCCTTTACTACTTTGAACATGCTGGTTAATAACTGAGATTTTATTGAATGCAGTTTCTTGACTCTATTATTGACGTATTTGACATATGGGTTGTATTTATTAGTATTGATTTTAGGTACTGTTGCCTCAATCGAATCTGATATCATTTTTTCCAATCTTACGATGTGATTGTCTATTTCCTCAATTGATAGGTTTCTGTCAGCTGGAATCTGGTCGCTGCTATTTCTAGCTGATAATAGATGGTCAGTAAAGTCATCCCATTTAGTACATCTGTAATTAAATCTGATCGGTGGAGGCGGGGGGCGTATGATGCCCTGGAAAATTGAATGTGTATCTATGGAGAAGATAATGCCATTGTGGTCGCTGTCATAAGGAATAGTGTCAAGTTTATTGTTGATTAATCCGACGAGACTTAGCCTGCTGTCACAAATACAATGATCTAAGTATGAACTGGCCTTGGGGAAAGTTGGGAACATTGAGCTATAATGTGCGACCTTAAGAGCATAGTTGCTATTCCTGGTCCAATTATAGAACGCAGCACCTCTGGTGTTCATCCTCGTGTCTCCCCATGCAGTGTGGCGAGCGTTTAAATCCCCAGCAATAATGAAGAAGATGTTGTTGCTATTTAGGTTGAGATCGTCGAACAACTTATCGAGATCCTCGATGAAAGTGTCCGTGGTCTTTTGCGCTGCATAAATACTGAGGACCAGCAAAACTGCTTTATTAGTTTTAATTTTGATTGCTGTGTATTCGATTGTGTTATTCTTATGTGAGTTTGGGAATGAAATAAGTTCGTAGTGCAGCCTTTTGTGAATTAAAATGGCTGTTCCACCTCCTCTTTTAGGTGCTCTTCTATCTGTTCGTACGAAGTTGTGATGCTGGAAGGTTATTCTTTTATGATTCTTATTTAATTTAGTTTCAGAAATCATTGCTATATCTATCTTGTTAATATTAATAAAATCTTGGAGATCATGCCTCTTTTTTAGAACACAAAGTGAGTTGACATTTATTGCACATAACTTGATGAGTTTAATGGTTGAATTATCCATTTGCTGGATCGTATCAGTCGTATCTAACGTATTAGCTGTATTATTCATTGTTGGAATGGACTATTGAGAGGATATGGTCTATGTTTAAGGAGTTTTCAGCAATCCTTTGTGACAGAGCCTGTAGCTGCGTGTTCATAGCTGTCAACATAGTGTCTTTGAACTGATTGAATAGGGATTCGAATTGATTGAACATGTTAACATTATCTGTACCATTTAGTTGGTCAAATATTGTGTTGTTTTGCGTATTAAGATTCAGTGGGTTTGACTCCCTACATGTTGTTGTTGATTGTGCTCTAATGCCAGCATTTTGGCTCACGTTTGCGAAGGACACATTTGGTCTGATGAAGTTGTTGTAGTGCGCTTCTCTCTTTTTCTTGATATCTATTTTAGCTCTTAAGGCATTTTTGCGCATCTCCTCAGCAGTTTTTAAGTATCTGCAGCCCTTGTAATTGGCCGGGTGGCCTGTATCACCGCAGTTTGCGCACTTTAGCTCACTACGTTGTGCTCCTTCTTTGATTGTGCACTCGCCTGGCTTATGGGACTCAGCGCATTTCATACACCTGAATTTTAAATGGCAATTCGAGCTGGCATGACCTACCCGTTGGCAGTTTTTGCATTGGAACGCTTGCTTTTTTCGCAGCTTCTCCCATCTAACCCTTTGGGACAAAAATAACTTAACTTTTGTTAGACTAGCCTGGTTACTATCTTTGGAAATTTGTACTAGGAATTGCACCAAATCGGGTCTATCTTTGTTAAAGGTGATTTTGGACACCTTAATGACCTGTACATCTTCAATGTTTAGACTCCTGATTTCCTCCGCTACATCTTTCTCATCAAATCCTCCAAACACTCCCTTCAAAACTAGTGTTTTAGTTTTGTTCTCTTTGGGGGTATATGTATAGAACGGTTTATTATCTTCCTTCAAAGCCTCTAGCAACTTTTCATATACCTGTTTGTTAGTGGCTGATAGACTAACTACTGTTTCTGTTTGTTTCACTCTAATCGTATTCAGAGCTATAGCTTTGGTCTTACAATAGGTAAGAGTTTCTTTGATATTTGTATTATAGATAAATATAGGTGGAGGTTTGGTTGGCTTTGGTTTAATTGACTGAGCTGTGGAATCCCGTTGCGGTGGATTCATCTGTGAGGTGCTTGGCTGAGCTGCATCTTGAGTATTCGCGCTTGAGAGCTGGCTGAAACGGTTCTTGGTCGTGATACCTGCCCTATCGACTGGCGAGGTAGGTCTTGAGGTTTGTTTAGGCTGTGAAAAAACGCCCACAGATGGCGTGTCGATCTCTTCATGCGAGAAATCCATCTCCTCTAGCGACGCCGCTTTATGTATTCTAGCATTTTTTAGGTTAGTGTGTTGTTTCTTTATTTTTTCATTAAAGACTTTCTCAACATTTGCAGAGTTGAGAATGCCTAAATCTTTCATAGACTTCTTGATTAATTTTTTATTTTTATTTTTATCGCCCTGTCCAAGGGCCTCAGCTTTTCTTTTCGTAGTTGCATCCATCTTCAACTTGATGTTAGGTTCATTGGGAAAAACCCACGCTGTCGGTGGTCTAAACGGGTCGTCCGGGTGTTGGTTCGCCCCAGATTTCTTTTGATAACGCTTCAGCAACAGTATTGGATGATAATCCCTGGTTGTGGCCACAATAGGGTCCTCAAAATTGGAGAAAAGTCTTTCACAGTATCGACGGTTGAACAGAGACGTCCACTCACGACAACAATACAAATGGAACTCTCTAACCTTTTACGTTGAGTTATTCAACGGTCTCTAAGTGGCTTGGATATTTTGTTCGCGAGGCAATCGGCGAGGGTCAATTCGCAGCTGTCACCGAAAAATGTAGACGCGGACAGTCGGTCTAAGCAAGACGTTTCTCATACGTTTCTCTGGGCGAACTGAAGAACTCCACTCTCTGACAGTCTCCACCAACTCTAGTTTTACTACGCGAATGCCCTAAAAATTAAATACGCCCAAAGTCCACAGGAGACCATTTATTCCATTTTATGATAGGGGGAATCAGTCGCCTCCGTGACTTCAGCCCAGCCTTAAGGTTAAAAAGCTAAGATGATTCTAATTTATATTAGTTTTTAATGAGTTAACTTGTTAGTCATGTATAGAATAATGATTTGAGTTAATGTATTTTTTAAAATATGCAATGTATGAAGTGTGTGGTATTATTGAAAAACTATCGTGTGTGCAAAAAAATCATACAACAACGACAAGCTAGAGGAACTGGAATTTGTCCAGTACGAAGAGAACTATATTCCCAATGTTTTGGTGAGTTATTCTTTTAATTTTACTAAAAAAACTGTATGTTATTAAGTTAATTGATTTTATTCCAGATGAAATCATAAGACAAATAACTATTAACTGTGCTGAGCGTGGGTTACTTTTGCTTCGAGTAAGAGATGAAATTAAAATGATTATGACTGCTAATCAAACACTTTATCAAAGTAGTATTTCATTTGGAATACGAAAAGCATTACAGACAAACATTTAATGATTATTTAATAATTCCATCATTATTAATTAATTTTTTACTATTTGAAAATTATTAATGTATTAATTAGGCGGAAGAAAGCAACGAAGATTTGATTACTATATCAGAAGAATTGAAAGCTCAAACAATTGAACTCGAAAAAATAGTAGCTCAGTTGCAACGAAAGTTTGAACAGGCTGACAAAAAATCAACCGAACTACGAGATGCCGAACAAAAAAAGCATTCTGAAGAAATTAAATTTAAAAAAAAAACTAATCAACAACTAAAAGTAATTTTTAAATATTTTTTTCATGTATCAATCATTATCTTTATTATTGCTATTATCAAAAATTTTCATTTATTTATAATTATTTTAGACTCAGTTAGAGGAAATAATTTCTCCAAAAAATAAAAAAAAACCCCGTGAAAAAATAAAATAGATCTACATTGATCTACTGAGATCTATTTTTTGGCACAATTAGATCTACTTTGTTCTGTGTACATCTGTTTCAATTACTTTAGATCTTCTGTGATCTCTGTAGATGTACTATCCTCACATTCTCATTAATATTCGTAAAAACAATTTATAATTAGATTTAATTACACTCTTTGAGAGCCGTTTATAAATACGGTACAATTGTCAAATTAAGAAAAAATGACAATCCAATTTCATGAGTTTGTAAATGGATTAAAAAATAAAAATCAATTCTAAAACAGAAGCAATAATTTAACTTGATATTTTTGGTCCCTGCTATAAATTCTGAAAAATGGATAGATTTTTCAACTCTCATTTAGGTTATTTGGACAGATTGAATTTTTTGGAGCTCTAAGGCTCCTCTTTTTAAATGCATCGCTGTAAATTATCATTTTTCGAACGATTTCCCTGTTACCTACTCAATTTCAATTGACATCGAGCTTCAGCCTTCCACCGCACAACGCGAGAACGTAAAGTCAACTTTCTGACTTGAGCCCAGCCTTAAAGTCGATATATCATCATCAGTCCATAATATTATCAATTCCTTAGGCAGTTTTCTTCAATATTAGTTAACTTACGGAACTTTTGGAGTGTCTGGCGCTACTTTCTATGTCATCCATATTTACGGTAAAGGTTGTTTCAGTTCTTTATGAATTGAGTATTAAATTTATCAACCACCGTGTTGTGAATTGCCACGCGTCAACATTGAACTATTTTCAAGATTTAATTTTTTCTCAAAGTAATTATATAGAAAACAATAATACAATGTCAGTGATTGCTGTAATCAGAAAATTCTTTCAAGAATACTCTAAAAGCACACCTAAAAAACTGAAAATTATTGACGCTTATCTGCTATACATTTTCCTAACCGGTGTGATTCAATTTGTATATTGTTGTCTTGTTGGTACATTCCCATTTAACAGTTTTCTCAGTGGATTTATTTCATGTGTATCTTGTTTCATACTCGCAGGTAAAAATATATTCCAGAATTATAAAATTTTCTAAATATTTATTTAGAGCAATTGAATTTTTGTATTCCAGTATGGTGTGTACTTCAATTTTAATACACCGACAGTTGTTTCTAAAAATAAATAGTATTTGTAGTTTATTTCAAATAATTAAAAATTAATATTTCAATCAAATATTTGGTTAATTTATTTAAGATAAATTGCATGAAAAAAACCAAAGAAAATCAATATATTTTAATTTTTATATTTCAGTTTGCCTGAGACTGCAAGTAAACCCACAGAACAAAAGTCAATTTTATGGAATAAGCCCAGAACGTGGATTTGCTGATTTTATATTTGCTCACATAATTTTGCATCTGGTAGTTATGAATTTTATTGGTTAAAATTAAATACAACCACTTTTTATTATCTTTATATGAACTATGTTGTACTGTGACTGTTTATAATGCAATAAATTATTCTTGTCAAATTAAAAAATGTAATGAGAAATTTTTTAACAATTGTGTTCATTTCTACGAATAATAAAACAGGCGAAAAAAATGAACAGGTCATTCGACTTTCTATTGCTCATATATTTACAATTATGTCTTAAAATATTGGACATAATAAATGTATGCATATTATCGATCATTATGTAGCAGATATTTCCACATAAGTTGTATAGAGCATTTGTATTTTTTACAGTCAGTTCATTTAATTAACAGTAATTTTAATATGTTAAATATCAGTCTGAAAATTAAATGAACTCGAGATATTTTCAAAAATTCATGAAAGAAATTTGAACTCAAATACAGAATAAAAGTTAAAAATTATATATCATAGTTTCAATTTATCTTCAAATTAATAAATCTAAAGCCATTTTAAAAGTATTTGAATAGAATTAAAATGATTGTTAATTTTTTTTCCATTATTTATCTTACACTTTAATATTCACTGCACATTGATATTTATTTATAATTATTTGATAATATAAGAAATAAATATTTTAACGAATACTCACGAAAATCGGATGAGATAATGCTTGTAATTCAAATCTAAATTATCATGAAATATTTATAAATTAATTACTATTAATAAATATGGTTTATAAGATAAAGTACAAATACATACATGTTTTGATAATATAATATTTTGTTTTACATTAAATTAGATTTTTCAAATTTTATAGCAAATATTATGGGAATTGTGAAATAATATTAAGCATATGCTTAATGAATGATTAAGTTCACTTGAATATTAACTTTATAATTAATAGTGTACTAATGTAATATATATATATACTCATTTTTAATTTTATCACAAAAAAGCAATGGAGAGAAGCTGAAAGCTCAGTACAATAATATTAACTAAACATTAAGTTATATAGACTTTTCAAAATAACATCGAAATAGAATTCATAACATATACACATATATAATACTTTAAGATACATAGTCATTACTGATAAGATCACCACAAAAGTTTTGATACAATTTATCTCCAAAAATTTTTATATACATCATATTAACTATGTTCTTCATGAGTATTCTTGATTATGACTTTACGCCAAATCATAAAATCTTCTCAAATTTTATTTATTTAATTTTTAAAACTAATATTTATCTAATAGTGTCATAAATTTTGTTATTATTCAGTGGTGTATAAATCAGAAAAATTTCTGTAAAAATGTGTTGCTGCTTTTGTTCTTATTCTTCAATGAAGCATAAAGCTTTTGTGAAATTCTCAGACTTAGTATTCATCGCTTTTATAATATATATATTTTATAATTAATAATTCAATATAATTAAACATTTATATTAAAATTAAGAAACAAAATATTTAGATTGAAGTACATTGCTTAATACAAAGTTTTATCTGGCATACTCATATTTGACACACAATACAAATTATTTGAATAAAATGTATTTTAAGTGTAAATCGCAAATATTAAACTTTCAAATTGAAATAATCATATGAGTAATTCATAAACTAATGACGTTGATTTTGCAATCTTAGAGTTAAATAATATATTTCTAAAATAAATATATTAAAATTAAAGAAGTATGACTAAACAAATATAAAATGGTATTTGAATAATTGATGCATTGTCAAGCGATTCAAATCATTGACTATGTTTCTGTCCATACACTTTAAATCATTATTGTAAAACTGAGGCCGTTCTTTGACTTGGCACATTAATCATTAATATTTTAATTATTAGTTTCATGAGTGAAAACAATTAAGAAAGTTGTGGCATTGAAAGTATTATCTCTCTGAGTGTAATCCATCATGACGATTTTTTATACATTATCAACTAGTTTTTTTTCACTGGTTTAATTAGTTTGAGCTATTATTAAATTTAATATTTAACTAATAATAACAAAATCGCATTAAAAATTCTTTATGACTAATTTTATAGCTTATAAATTCATGTTAAATTTTTTTGTTTCGAAAATTAAGCATATTCATATTGATTTGAAATATTGCTTGTTAGCTAATTAAAAGAATTGGATCTTAACAAATTACTATATCATATCAGTGCAGATTTACGTTGGGCTGTTACTAAAATTTATTACACAGATTTAAGTTTAATTTAGCATAAAAACACAGCCGTCTCTTTCCATTTGTGTCTAACTTTTTATTTGCATTGAAACATATCTACTGCTGTAATATAATATTCAACGTTATTGGAAAAGACTAAAAAATGGTACGTTAATTGTAAATTTATTTGACGTTACAGATGAAAAACTTTTTGTATTTCAGCACCAATTTTCTTATCTTGAATCTATGTTAATTGTAGATGAATGAACTTACTGCACTGACGTACTATCTTATCTGATTGATTTTTCTATCTTGAATAATAAATACACAAAATCCAATATCTTTATTTCTTATCACGACTTTTTGTTATCATATTTGCAAATAAACTACCACTTAAAAATCGAAATCTTAACAAATTGCCAATCATAATTAAAAATGACTTTAAGATGTGGACTCAACACTGCTTTTTGAGCTTTCATGTGATGAAGTTTCAACTTCAGATTTTCTATGTCTTTCAATATATTTTCGTCGCGCTGTCAATAGCATGTGCTCCTTCCGACGTTGTAAAATCCTTTCTCGTTCGGTTGAACATTTAGAAAACCGGCCACCCAGTGTTGAAGGTTCTTCAATTTGACTATAATAGAAACATTTTTCATTCATTATCCTAGAACAGCTGGTTAATTCAAATGTAAATGATTAAGCAATTAAAAAAATTGATAAAAGAATGAGTAATCATAGAATGTTCCGGATCTTTTTTTGTAAATATTATTGAACAGTACTAATGAACTTTGAATACCAGTAGTTATTTTCTCCCAGAACGATAAAAGTAAGATGCTACATACAAAAACCTACTCTTTGACAAAAGAGTGAAAAATATGTAAATTAATACTTTTGCAATTTATTATCAGTTTTCCGTTATTCTATTCTATTTAATAAAAAATAATGAAGTACTTTATTTCCATTTTTGTCGCAATTACTCATTAGAATTAATTATGTAACTCCTGATTGTATCGCCAAAAATAGAAAAATACTTCGTCAAATAGCCTCGGCAACCAAAACTACATATTTTTATATTTCTACTAATAATCTTATGAAATTGATTATTCTAAAAAATTTTTTTCTAAATATCGGACAATGATAAATACTTCTAGAAATTACTCATGATTCAATAAATTTAATATTTAAAATAAGTGGAAAATCGTCCTCTTAATTAATGATTGATAATTGTAACACATTAATTTCAAATCAGTATTAGCCTAGTTGTTATTATAACAAAATTTAAAAACAAATGATAAAAGCATCATTAACTTCATTTTTAATTAAGTAATGATGCAAAAAAATAGTTAAAAGCCACGTTTAACTTAATTATGTTTATTGAGTGCAAAAATACTCCCAAGCAAATTATGACTAAACTTCAATTCGTTTATCAACCCGATAAGTAAGTGATAAGACTAACTTCAATTGTTCTATGAAAAATTAAATCTCAAATCTTTATTTATGTTGGTAGTTAATGACTAGTGGCTTTAAAAGTTGTTTTTTTGGTATAATAATTACACAATTTTACGAGGAAAAAAGAATGAAATATCAGAAAAACTTCTAGTTACACGAATTACTCAATAAAACCTTTAATTTTCAACCATTTAAGTTAGAAAAAAATAATTATATATCAATTCAATGACTCATGTTAGATAATTAAGAGTAAATTGTTGGATTTATTACCTGTCCACAATGGGTAAATCAAATTGAGGATCCCACGTTTTTGGAGTCAATTGACTAGGTAAAATATGAGTCGATACTGATTGGTTTTGAGTGGCAGGTTCTGCTTCAAGTTCGTTCATTACATGATGAGGTAGTGTTAATCTGCCATCAAGTATGTTTTCTACAGTTAACTCTACAGATCTAGTAATTCTCAAGTCTTCTATTACTATATTCCTGGGATAATGAGGGAATAATTGTTGCACCTAAAAGAAAATTACATGAGATTAAGGTTGATCAAGTAATATATAACGTTTAAATAATTATAGATTCTTACTTGTCTTGCCATAGCATCTAATTGAGAATTACTGTGGGCCAAGGTAAGAATATCACCTCTTAGACGATTATGTGTCACTTCAACCGAGAAACTCGGTAACCAAGACACGTATCGTGAACCATCAAAGTGAAAGAAGTGATTATCATTCCTTCCAACAGACGTCTGTGACTCGGGTGATTCTGGTCGTAGTTCAGGAGTATTATCTCTGTGACTAGCTTGCATACTGAGAACGAGTCTACAAGTCGGGCAAGAAGTGTCTTGTTCTAGCCAAGATTGTAAACATGAGTTATGGAAAAGATGACTGCAAGGCAATTTTCTGGCAGACTCCATTTTTTCCCAACAAATAGCACAGTTGTCGGAATTCTCAGCTATTTCTTCTGGCGAAGCCATAGGATAACTGCAAATTCAATTAATTTGTAATTCGTTTTTAATTAGAAAAAGTAAATTACATTTCATTTACATTAAAAACCATGTTATTTATAAATTCTAGGTATTTTAAAATTTCAAATTAAAATTTATTAGTCATTCTGTTCGACATCCATTATTTTTTGTATGCATTTATATGATATTTATTTTTCAGTAAGCGACATCATTTTTTTTTTGTATTTATTTCAATATATTAAAGTTTTATTTGTCACATAAAAATATCTTTGATATTTACCACCAATAGCTGCAGGGCACTTTCTGACTTTACATAGTAAATTCTGAAAAGTATTAAAAAAAAACCATCGGGAATTTCAATATTTACCTCTGTTCCATATGATTTAAAACAGCTAAGTAATTGCGATGTTTAGTGATCCTACGTTGAATCTCATGGAAAAGATAACGTAGCTGCATACAAATTACTAAAGACGCCATGCTCAACAAAATGTTGCTCCATATCAACATGTGAACGTGATGTAGGAAATCAACAACCAGAACCGTTAGTTCACATATTACTTCTGTATAATAGGCCAATGGACCTCGTTTATCGGACGAACGGGGCGATGATCTTGTATCGTATAGATGAATCGCGTAACGCAGTATCACATGGATCGTTCGGACGGCCAGAAGTATACACTAGAACAATAATAATCCATTAAGTTTTTCAATCATTTTCAAAGTCACTTATCTTATTTTATGTAATTAATAGAAAATTATTTAAAAAATTGATGGAACAAATAGATATATATATATATATATATATAAAGGTATAAAAGTTGCATCAAAAAATATTATTAATAGAGTATAAAAATAACATGATTTCAACAATAGACAAGGTCATAGAAAAGACGTCATGACGGTCGAAAAACAAAATTTGGCCATGGATTGGTCAATTACATTGAATTAATCTGACTACTGAATTAATTATTTCCGGGTTAAAGGAATTTATTTTCAATATATAAATTCGCTTCTTCATCCTTATTTTTTGTTTTATTTACTCTTACACCTGTGAGTTTAATGATTATTCACTGCTAAAGTAATGTAAATATTTATTCAGAATATGTACTTAAGAATAAGTATCATGAATCATAGTGGGATACCAATAAAAAGTAGTTTATGTAGATTATGTAGAAACATATTACATATGTTGAATAGTAAAAGCGAATATAATCAATAATTCTCCTCAATATGATTCATCTACTTGGATAAACCATCAAGAATATTGTAAGTATAGATAAATAATCAGAAAATCGGACTTTTTAACAGTCTACGTGATTAGAAGGTGATGAAAACTTTCTAGAACACTCGCGAAGTAGTAAAAAAGTAGGAGAAAGGTGGAAGAAAACTTTACAAATGAAGCTGTATAGCAAGCTGGTCGTCCCAGACCTTCGAGAAAGAATATTCATTTAATATGAATATAAATAAATTTGAATAATTTATTAGCTATATGAGATTCTATTAATGAGAAGGTGATGATATCTTTCATCATTTCATGGAGAAAAATTATTTGCAGCAACTAGATAGAAATTTTCTTCCAAGTATAATTACTCTTTAGTTTAATGAATATTCCTTTTTCGTGTTTAATTTCTAATTAACTTTTGAGTTAGTGAATGCATTTGAGTATTTAATCTACATGAAGTACTATTATCTAATAATTTGTTTACTTTCATTAAAACATAATTAATGAATTGTTCTAGAATTTTCCAGAGTTTCTTTCTATTAACTGTCCATAAATTCTCAAGATTCAATGAACTGGTCTGTTCTAACAATTTATGTAAGAATTTAAATGAAAAAAGCTGGTTATATTTTAAATGATGAAAAGTATCACGAAAAGTAGCAATAAATTTCAAACTTCTAAATCTTCCACCGATTAGTAATAAACTTTCACTGTTTTGACTGTAGAGAATAATGATGTTCAGAAAAATGAAGTAATTCATGATTAAACTACCAATTACGTTGGAAAAGAAGAAAAAAGTTGAGTTTTTTTCCTACATCAGATGTTGATACTTAGTTTGATATATTTTTTTTTCCTATCTTATCAAGCATTGTTAAGTAATTGTGCCGTATTTTACTCTAAAATGGAGCATCTGACATTAGATAATTCCTCATTTGTTTTATTAAAAGCTTTATATGTACAGTAAATATAAAGTAGGGAAAAGATTTATTTAAATATATTCAAAGCAACTTGACACTAAATATCAAACTCTATTGAACTTTTCCACACGGAAGTCTATAATGCTAGTCATCGATATTTTCACCTTCAATAAGCTTCATGTATGAAGGCGAAGTTTCCATCTTCAAATCTAAACTACATTAAATTTAAATAAATCAATAAAACTCATCAAAACTTATCAAAAAACAAATTTATCCCCAATGACTATAAATAATGAGTTTAAAAATGTCAAGAAACTATATAACATCTAGGAATTTTCCTCTATTTATCTATTAGCAAATTAGCAGTATTCCTAAATCAATAAACATTTCATTGTAATTGCAATTGGACAATCAATTTTGAATATTCATTGGATAAATGATGTACTTTGCATCACTTATGTAAAATAATTTAGTAAATACGTCAGTTATTTTACATATAATTTTTATATGTACGAACAACGTAGTGAAACTGCCATCGACTCAGAAGATCGCATAAATGCAGGAAGTAGATATTACTTATACTCGTCAACTTGTCATTGTGTAACGGTACAGTTGAATTCGCACGATCAGACAGTTTTCTTCATTATTCCTTCTTACTTGACATTAAATTTCCAATATAAAAAATAAAATCAATTGACCAAAACTAATATTCATCAAGAAATCATAAACTCACAAAATATCATTTTTAAATTGTATTTTTATGATAATTCAAATAGATAAGTTATATTAATTACGTTGTTATTGAAACTTTGAAGATGACACATGTCTGTGAAATGGGCTTCAGAACATTCTATTTTTAAGATCAAAACTACAAAGCAAAAAATAAAAATATTAAGAAAAAAACTTTAGCAAGAAAATCTGGAGGCAAACCGGATTTTTATGCTTTTAATTTATCGTTTCTTTTATAATCGCCATAATCTAGAGCATTTTCGGATTATTTATTTTATTTTTCACTATACAATAAATATAAAATTAAGCAATTGATTCTTCAATTAGCATATTTTAGTTAGTAATTTGCAAAATGATAATTTAATGGTTGAATTAAACGACTAAAAAATCTCTTCAAATTTAATTAAATTCAAAAAGAAAAAAAAAATCATGAACATGTATCAAACAGGGTTTTTTGCTCTTAAAAATAGATGACTCATTTGTGCTAAGATATAAAAGTAATGAATGTTTATTAATAAATAATTTCGCGCAAGATCCAAAGAGTAATTTAGCTGAGTAGTTTTCAATCTTGGTCAATCTTTCTCATCGTTCAAGATCGATACGTGACAGAAAACACGACGCATGGTTACTTACCTCAGCTGCCATAAATGCAAAAGTATTGAAGGACACGAAAAAGAAGGCTGCTGCTATTGAAAGGAGTAGCATAAATAAGGACAGTGCAAGGATCGCAGCAAGTAGTCCTAAAAGTCTTGCGTGACTCCATCCTGGTGTTGTCGGTGAAAAAGACAGCTGAAAAAATGATATATAAATTAATACAAAAAAACAAAAAATATTCAAATTTAAATAAATCATACAATCTATTGAAGTAAAAGTATTACTAATTATTATTCTGTAATACGAATTTCAATTAATTAATCAGTATTCTTTATCCTTGATAATATTTATAAATGCTTTTCCAATAAAGACTAGAACAGTAAATTATCCTCTTGTGAAATATGTGAACGATAATCTGAAGGACAAGAAAAAGTTTATTCAACGAAAACCATTTATATAGATATAAAAAACTGTAAAATTACGGTGCATTTGATATCTTTTACAAAGCTATAAATTGGACAACACTTGATAAAATAAAAATAGCATTTAAATGGCATAAACTGGTTTTAAAGATTCTCGTGATTTTATACTTTTTTAGCTACAAGCATAAACTACTGTTAGTCGAAAGGATAATAATAAAATTGGCGCCAGATGATTTGGTAGTGATACAATTTCTTTCATCAACCAGTTATTTTTAAACTCTGAAAGAATTTTAAGAATTTTTTGTTGAATAAATTAATTAGCTTATTTGGCATTTATGAATTCACTTGTATCGTCCTTAATCCAAGATTATGAGAGAAAAATTTGAATTGTAACGAAGAGAATACAATGCTATTTGTTTAGTTGTCCTCAAAACTGACAACGATAAATGGTCATTTACAACTAGAATTAAGGTACAGGTGTTTTATCGATTTATTTATTAATAGAACTGCGTTGAAATTATCTTGTAGATAACTGCAGATTTCTTTTCGAGGGGTAATGAAATATTTTCAATGCTAATATCTTGATTTTTCAATGACATATTAATTCCATATACTGGTATTAGAGTATATGCAATCTATAACTTAGTTACTTCTATTGGATTTTTATAACAAGATTAAAGGTGACTTCTGTTGGTTACTAGGACTCCAATTTTTCTCTTTTAAAAATTAAAGTGTCTATTGAACAACCATTCACAATTTCCATATTTAAGAAAATTAAAAACCATTATTTATTACTGATGAATAAATTTTGTTAGTATTCAAGTAATTTAGTGAAAAAAATTTTTTCGTTTAATTGAAATTTAAAAAAAAAAGAATTTTTAAAAACCAAAATTTCTTACTAAAGAAATACGTCTTTTAAATGCAGCATGACAGAAAGTTAGTGAATAGAAAAAAACAGTATAGTCCTTGAGTTAAGAAAATTAGAACGCGAACAATACATAACTCTCATTTAAAACTCGTGAATGGCAGAAAAGACTAGTAGACATAGATATTTAAAAATATTCGCAAGCTCATAATAAATGCAAATCTCAGATTTATAAATAAATGATAAACGATGTTTTGATGCATTGAAACAGATTTCAAAATAACTGAAACTTAATTTGATCAGCTGTAGTCACTTTTGACACATCTTCAAAGATGTTTTTGATTGCAAATAAACTGTAAAAAATCAATAAAATTATTCCAAGAGTTTAATAAGGTACTGGCAAAAAGAATTTCAACAGATGTAATTAGATGTAGCCTAAAAAACTACTTTTTTCATGAACTGTACAAGGTCAGTAATTTATTTGAAGTGTTGAAAAAAACTTTAATGATTAAATACTTACGTAAACAAATCGATCTTTGCTAAGTTGACTCAGAAGGCCTAGAAAACCGAGAGCGGTAAACCATGCCCACCACAATACCACTTCATCCGCATACTGTACGTTGAGAACACCAAAAACAAATATGAATTTATAAAAGATAAAATTTCCAAATTTATCCTTAAGATGTTGTCTCTCAGATGCACGAAGTTCGCCAAAAACTAGCTTCTGAATGGTTTTGCCAAGTAAAATGAGAGCACAGTATGCCATGTTCATTAGAGGCTGAAAAAGGAGAAAGACAACAATCTAAAAATCAATAACGAACTCATAAAGATTTTATGTATGTTTAATTTTAGCCACGCCTAATTTTTTTAGAATAATTTTTCATTCTGCTGGTAGAACAGCTAATACGTAAACAACTTTTGAATAATTATTAGAGCTTATTTTGATCAACTAAGCAACGAATATTCATCAATTACTAAATATTCAGCAAAATTTATGGTTTCTTCAGCATAAATTCAAATTTGAAAAATAAACAGCCAAGAAAATCATTGATGAAATTAAAATTTTATCATGTATTATTGAATGAAGTGTGTAAATTGATAATCAATAACAATGATAACATAATTTACAATGATGATTTGGATGCATCGATGTGTCATCTAGTTTATCAAGCATTACAAAAAGAAAAAAAATAGATAATACACTTCTCTGAAGAATAATTAACTGTACTGACATTTTTTTACTTCATTTATTTTCTTCTTTTTTTCTTTAGAAACCCTAATATTTCTTCGTTTTTCTTTTCTACTGAGCTTAGCAATTATTGATAACAAACTGAAAGACATCAGGTTATTGTTTCAGTGTCTACACGTAAAGTGTGTCAAATATAATAATAAAAAACAATACACATATATACTAGTTAGAAGAAAAAATTAATGAAATTTGTATAACCGGATTTCCGCGCTAGTTGATGACGCGTTGTAAATCACAACACAGGAATGGAACGCCAAATCCGCAAAAAGTGCCTTCAACTTAGTTTTGATAATAAAAACTTTAAAAAATTGCAGAAAAACCTAATTAATCATATTCTACTTTAACTCAAGAAAAAGGGAATCTATGTCAATGATTTTAATTATTCATGTTTGCTATTTAATTAATTATCTATAAATAAACCAGTTCAGTGTGCTTATTTAAAAATAATTATAGATTTTCCTTGTTGAAGTTAATTTCTCAGTTTTTCTTATTTTGAATAAAAAAAATGCAATAGAACATAATTTAATTCCAAAGTAATTCATTTGCATTCAAATGTATTGATCAATTGATATTTTTAATGATATTCGTAAAAATTTTTTAGGCAACGTAGAAATTTGCTAGATATTTTTAAGCTCAATTGTGGAATATTGAAATAAAAAATAACAAGTCAAAGGTTACTAATCTTTTAATCAGTCTACTGATTAATTATTAGCTTAAAATAGAAAACCAACTTTTAAATCTGTTGATGAGTTAATATATGTAAAGATATAAATAAAAAATATAAAGGTGATAAATCTTTTGACTTCATCAAAGCCTTAAGTTTCATCAAGAACTTAAGCTTTCCTTGGACCTACATAATCTTCAAAAAAGTTTTAAATTTTATTAAAGATTTATATAAATAGTTGGTGAGAAAATGGATAAAATTATGAAGGATAGTAATATTGTTCATGTTAACGCTGTTCCAATGTCAATGGATTAAATTTTCGTGTTGAACTATTGTCACCTATTGAACTACTGTAAACTCTACACCATTGATTTACTTGTTATTTATTCAGACACGTTTTAGACACGTTTCCTGACTAATGAAAATTAGTCATTGAGAATATTTAGCTGATTTGCTATTCATCACGATTGTAAATCATTACCATATAATTTTGTAAAAAAGTAGTGTGATATGATTAATAAAAACAATAGCACGTGTGTCACCACAAGGTTTCTGATTGAATTTCATTCAATGAAAAACGATTCACACTTTAGTAAAAATAATTTAGGTGAATAATTAAATAGAAAAAATAATAATAAATTCTAAAGCTTAATTTGAAGAGATTTTTAAACTGGTTATAGTTCAATTATTTTTGTAATTGAAGCAACAAACATTCTAAGATAATTCAATAAATTTTGTTTTATTCTAACAAGGTAATTAATTATTTCAGACTTTTAAAAGCACAACTATAGAAAAAATTTTTTTCATCATATCAACAACATGATTTGATTGTTATATTATAATCTCGTCTTTTTTTTCTGTTTAATGAGTAATTGAAGCTTATGTAATTTTCATGAGTCGTGGGTGCGACTGTTCCTTGTTATAATCTTATATGTTTCTAAAACACGCCTTTGTTGAAAAGGAACTTGGGAAGTATATTAATATTGTATAAAGCTTGCGTGCTGTAGTGTATGTAACGTGGTCTCTTCGACGTTGCAACGCACCAACTACGTAATTTGATATTAACCTCAAGTTTATTGAAACGCCTACAAGTTTAAAAGTTTTTTGCACATAATGTAGTTATCATATGCGGTCTTTAGTAGGTACACTTTCAATCATAAAACTCTTCAATAAATTTACAGATATCATTTTAATTAAGCTAAAAGAAATTTCATCTTAATTTATTAACATAAAATATTTCGTGAAAATAAAAACAATTTCAGACAAACTTTTATGTCCTTTTTAAAGTCAGAGCAATGAAATTTCAGTCTTCGAATTGATTGTGAACATATTGGACGTATAAAGACTGATTCAATTGATTCAATTTCCTTATCAATTCAAAAGTTAGCTATTTTATTTATCGCTCTAATAAGAAATCCAATTTTTACAAAAATATTTGTGTTTATCAATCAATATTAAAAAAAAGAAAAAAACTTATTTTCCTGCAGAATGCTGTTTGGTGGAAGTAACTTCTAGCATGAAAGAACACAAAAGAAAAGTGATGAACATACTCTGTCACAATTTAACTATTTCCCACAGTAGATTTTGTAATAAGTTGACACAAATAAAGTTGTAAGGTATTCAGATTTTCATTAAAATAATGATAATAATATAATAAAAAATGAATAGACATTTTAACAGTCACTTACTGTTATTATTATCATCATCATATGCAATTTGTAATCATTTCAAAATGAATTTATCACAAATTTAATGATAAGTTTACATCATGATGTAGCTCTATTCAGACACCGTGTTAACTTTAACATTAATTCGTTAAATCCTTACCTTACTCGAAAATTATAGTAAATACGTGATGCAGATGAAAAAAAAAATAATTCGGTTTATATGACTTGTTAAAAAATGAAGAAAAGTCTGAGCGAAAAAAAAGCTTTTATTGCATGCATCAGAGAATTTTGAAGTTAGTTTACACTAGAATAATGGCCTTGAACTGTGAGAGTTCATTTAGAATCAATAAAGTGTATTTGTTAACTGACAAAAATACAAAAAATTACATAAATAGTTTTACTTAAAAAAAAACCCTGATAGCGACTATTATATTAAATGATACATGACACCATTTTTCTGTAATATTACATCAATATTGTTCAGTTTAGTTTCTTGTTCAAATATATGTATATGTAACAATTATTACTGCTACCTACATACTGTACAGTACTCAGAATGAATATATCTTAACCCAGATACCGTTAAAAGATCATAAAATACTATCTTTCCTGTGGTTCCAACAAAATAAATTTCACAATTTAATACTTCCTTATTTTGTTATCAAATCTTAAAAATGTAATTATCATATTTTGATCAAACTTACCCAAAAGCAAACTGGCTCCTGAATAATACAAGCCAACAGTTCCTTCAAGTGCATACCCGTTGTCCTCGGATCATTTCCATGTCCATTTTCAGTAGTATTTTTATCTCCAATAACACTAGCCGTGTGATTTGTACGCCATGATGGATCTTTAACTATTTGTGCTGCATAATACACCGAGCATGAAAGAATAGCAATACTAATGGCTGTATAAACACGAAAACTAGGTACTGGTAGACGAGCAAGAAGTACCGTCGGCATTTTTGCCAAAATTATTTCTCTCACGTCTTTTCAATTTTTACTCCAACTGTTTCCAACTCTCTGCTACCTATTCAAACCTGAAACAAACGGAACATTTTCATAAACTTTCTTTTATGAGCCATATTTTTTATGATTATTATTATGTTATTTATATTCAATTTGATATAATAAGTAAATTCATCCAAAAAGTTGATACAAATTAATGAAGATAAATAAATAAAACAAAAAACAATAAAAAAGGGATATTTGTTTTTAGAATAATTTATACTGGAAAAGTAAATAGAAATTATAAGAGAGATATAATATTTGATCAAATTTAAAGCAGTAAAATCTTCACTGCAGTGTTTTCAGAATCATTTTCTGATTACTGTAATGAACTACGATGTGCAAGTATTCTTCATTGTTTTGATAGAAAATTCAACTCATAGGTTTGATTTGTCGAAAAAAAACATTTTGTTTTAATTGATAAATTAATATTTTTGTAAAATAACTTCAAATATGTCGAATAAACATAAAATTGACAAAACAGAGACTCATAAAAGACAAATTGATTTATTCGACCTCGTTTAAAATAATTAAATATTTTATTTAATTATAAAAGACAAAAAAATTTTTTCTTTGTTTGAAAAAGCATTAAAATGTTGAATATTAATTATTCAATTATTAAAAAAATCCTAAGCCAAAGAGTAGAAATATTTTTATTAAATATCCAACTTCTCTAAAATCATAAAAATATTTATCTCCAACTAATAACTGTTTTATTTTTCTTCAGGCTTTTTCTTTATTGATTTTCAATAATTTATTCAAGTGTTTATTAATTGTACAAAAAAAAAAATAACAATAAACAAACTTAAATGTAATATAAATGAATTTAATATATTATTTATAAACAATCTTAATCCACTATAGTCATCATTTTTTGTTATTCATTGATTTGATAGAAATTAAGGTCAATTATTTCATCATCGATTAGCTTCTCAGCTAAAGGAACTAATCGATAATGAAATTAAGGAAACAAGAGAGAGTATTTACGTAAAAAATTAAACATTCGTTGTTGACATAAAATGAATAATAAAATAAAATAATTATACATAGCTATAGACAATAGAATTAATTTTAAAAAAAACAGTGTGTACATAAATTGATAAATAGTAAGGATAAAGCCACGTCACGTGACAGTAAATGCGTAGAATACGTAGCCGAGACAACTGGGCAGGCGGTCTTGCAACCCCCAAGAGCCACGTAAAAGCTAGTCATTGAGCGAATCGTCAATGCTTCCGTAACATAACTATGAGTCGTATATCTAAAAAAGACTACTTTACGTATTGGATACGTTATCAATATCTTGGTATTAGAAATTGAAATTATTTCTTTCGATGATAGTGAGTAAAAAAATAATAGAATGTCATTGCGAATATTTGAACATTAAATGATAAAAAGTCGTTTATTTGTTTTTTCTCATATTGAATGAAAAAACAAACTCAATAAATGGATCACTCGTGACAACTTCAACCACTCAAGTGATATAAATTAAATAAATGTTTATAAGTCCTATTGAATAGTACTTACAGTACTGAGATTTATTTAATCACAAACGGAATGAAATTATTTAGTAATTTGTATTTAACGATGTAAAAAACTAAAATCAACTCATCTGAAATAATAGCAGAAAATTAAATTTTAATTTTAAACACAGTACTTGTAAACGATGCTATTTTCTTGGTAGAATTTTTGTTAAGGATAAAAAATAAAAAAATCTATTAAAATTAACTTTCTAAATTAAGTTTCCATTACATTGTATGTTACTAGCTTCCACAAAGACTGTTATTTCAAATAACTAAAGCCACAAAGAGGAAACAAGCAATCAGATATTAAGCCGGAGCTCAGTTTAGTTTGGTCTGGTTTGGAACCAAAGCTTTAGTGGATACATTTTACATTCACTAAAGCTGAACCCTTTTACCTAGAGTTTACTATAAAATTACTCAATTTTAAACCTCAACAATTATACAACTAGTCAGTAAAAATGATATGTTGATATGTACTGTGATCCATGTTCGTATCGTACATTAGATAGACCTTTCATCATCCTGCCCTTGACTAAAAACTACATATCATTGCTATTCAGTCAAGTAGTACAATTAAAACTGGAATAATCTGACTACAGATTGTTGATTTTTTACGAAAGAAAAAATATCATTTTATTTATCAGTAAAATTAGGATTCGTTAAACAAATTATACAAAATTATTTAGCACGATAAAGAATATTGATTGATAAATTGTGATGAATCAAAATTATATAGAATAATAATTCAAATCAGGCATCACATGTACATATTATTATTATAACATATGGTAATGTTAGTACATGTGTGTAATTAATGAATCTGTATTGGATAACACTAGAAAATAAAATCATATCACGCAATAAAAAGGTGAAGCGATATTACATGAAGTTTCCTGAAATTTTTTTTTTAATCAATGTGATTATATCAAGTTATTATCTAATGAAATTAAGTTGAAGAAAAAATAATTTATTTATAGAAAGAACAAAATAATAAGGAGAAAGTAAAGAAATTTCATCTAACAGTAATTCTATGAAATAATTGTTATTAACAAATTAAGGATTGAACATTCTATTAGGATTTCAACGAAGATTTAATCTAAACTCAAGAAACATTTAAGAATATTTTGTTCTTATTTCTTCTTGAATATTTAATTGCATCTTTTGACTTTATCTGACGTGATAAAATTCTCAATTTAATTATAATTTATTTTCATCTGATGATGTAAAATTAAACATAGAATTTAAATAATAAAATAAATTTATATGAGATAGTTCAAAAGACAGAGTTTTTATCTAATAAAAGCAAATATTGTCATGTATTTTTAAAAGGTTATTTCATAGTATACATAAAGTTAACAATTTGCATAATTTAATTTTATTTTTAGTATTTTCTTAATTTAAAGAAATCTAGTTGGATTAATAAATATTTATTAAATGATTCATATGAAATGATGGTATGCAAATTCCGAAAATTTTTGATAAATAAATAATATGGAACGTACATAAAAATTAACATTGAAAATAGAATCATTCAATATTTATATGATTATTGTCTCTGGATTGTTCTTTAATAATGCGAAAAAAATATCCTTTGTGTTAAGAAAATTATTGTTGTCCAACGCAATTAAATATTTTTTCATTGTATTTAGAGGACAATACTGATTTATTATTAGGCTGAAACAATATTGAGATACTCAACATGTAAAATAAATAAGATTTTTCAGCTGTAAGTTAAAACAGATGGAAGATAATAGTAATTATAAGATAAAAAAAATAAATGGTTGCGTATTCTTACCTATTTTATCAAAGACTTATAGATATGAAGAACAAATAGAGTATCTTTCAATGGCTTGAGATGTAACACATAACCAAAATCGTTGGCTAACATTAATCGTTAACGCGCACCCTCACTACGATCACTTAAACACTAGAAAAACATTTGACACAAAAAGCAGATAAACAATATTTTTATTAACTATTGGAGTGGCCGATTTTGACAGCATCGGTTTCTTACGTGTGATGAGGGTCTTCAAATTACGCTAGTGACTCAAAGAATTGCCAAGGAAGTAAATCCAAGGTTGACACGATTGCCAAAAGTTTCGTGTCTGACGATATTAATACACAAATCTTACGTCTTTGCAAGTTTTAATTCACACAGGAAAAACGTCTAAAGTCTTCCTGAATTTTTGGTGAAGTCCATGTGGCTCCAAAAACAATTTTTCTTATATCTGAGATTTTCCACGTCACAACACAATGAATATAAAATTAATTGATATTCTTGAGGAAGTTTTATCAATATATTATACTGTATAACACCGGTTTGTTGAACATGAATGCTGACGATCTTTTTTTCTCTATTTTATTCGTTCTATTCGCGTGACTTATTATCGTATAGCTTGCGAACGGTGTTTCACGTTCTACCACTATGTATCGTCACGTAAGTCGTTGACTACTGACTCCAGAATACTTCGGAGAGAATTATTTTTATAACTCGGCCAATAATGTCGTCGCTGACGCCATTTGTTTTCTTGGACTGTAGTGACATCTGTTCATGATAATGTAAGTAAAATTTTGGAATAATTGAAAACAACTAGTTTATTAATAACAATCTTTCCATTGTTATAAATATTACACATAGTAGGTAGTTAAGATTTTTTGAAAGATTGTGTCAATAAAAATAAATACATTTCTAGAAATTGACACGCTTTTTACGAACAATTAAACCTTTTTATTGTTAATGCATAAAAATGGGACAATCAGCTACATATTGCAAAGAGATATTATCTCAAAATCTTCACATGCAAAATAGTACCAATAATGAGGAAAATAAAATGAAGATGATGATTATAGAAGGATAATTATTTCAAGATTAGCCGCTCAATTAGCAAGTAAAAATTATAAAAATAAATTTATTTATTTTTTTTATGGTAAATGGCAGAAGATTAAATAATTCAATTTATTGATTATTCAAATTATGATTTTCTTTAGCAATTAATTTCATCAGTACTAGTTTTTAAATTGAATTTCCATATTCTCAATACCACACACATGAAAGTGAGTGTCAACTACGCTCACCCATCATACAGTATGACCATTTACGCGCTCATTGTGCGTATATCTGTCTGTCGCGACTGTCTGGTGATTCTGGTGATGGCAAAAAGACGAAAGTATCATGGCCGTACCAGCACAATTGCTTATTGAGAGTACATTCTACAACTTTTGTTTTTTACTCCTACTGTTTTGTTGTGAAACGTTAGTATTGATATATTTGTGAAGTTGAGTTACTATTGTTCATGTGTGTTGAAAAAAATTTGTTCAGATACCCACGTGGCAAGCCAGGTGAGAGAGATAGAAGTGGTCGATTATAATGAAGTGAGATCAAGAAAACATCGACAGATGAAACAGGTGTTATTAAAAATAGCGCCATCATTGTTATAAATTGTAAATGAATTGAGTTTTGTTAACAGCAATCAATATTATCGACATATGATAATAAATTACTATTGCCATTGTTGGTAAATAATTAACGTCGATAAAAAGGAATTCTTTAGATAGAATTCTAGTCGGTAAATTTTCAATCAATCATATGAATAAAAAATAATTTTTATAGATGCCTTTTCTGAACAATTCGTTATAAATTTAATATAATGTATCCATATATATTAACTTATTTTTTAAAATATATTTAGTATCAAAATATTGTAATGAAATAATTATGTCAAGATTATATTAGTAGCATCAGAAAAGAATAAGTTTTTGAAATAGCTGATAGCAAGAAAGACAAAAATAGAAGTTGAAATTACTGTTATTCTCATTATTCAGTTATAAATCATGTTATAGAAACATCGCCTAGTCTAATCACTGAAAAGAGATTAGGGCCACCAACTTTTAAATTTATCAATAGATACTCAAGACATTTTAGCTTTTTCTGATAATATTTTGAAGTGAAACGACAGTTTTTAAGTAGAATTGACTTTGAATAATACAATTAATTAAATGAGTATTTTAAACGGCAGTCATTTCGGGTCACAATTAATTCTGCTGTTTAGTGCCGTAGGTCACGCGATAGTTTTTGTAAATATATGCATATTTTACAGTTCATAGTGCTAATATTTAAAAAAAAAGGAAAAAGCTTCTTGTCGAAATGGAAGATAACAATATTCAGGAATTGCCATTGGTCACAAAAAATATGTTGGACCATTCACCTCGATCACCATCATCATCTAGTAAGTTTTTTACATTTATTCAAAAAAAAGTCTTTCCATTATAAAAAAGTTATATTAATTTAATAATATAATAATAACTTATTCTTCTTTGTTCTTTAGATATTTTAATATTCGTTATATGATATTTCAATTTTGTACGTTATTCACGTTGCTTCCTCCCTGATAAAGTGAAAGAAAAAATAATTATCCAATTTGAATTATCTGAACGCGTTATTTTAATTAAATAAAATATTAATACGTTTTAATTGATGATTTAATTACCACCGTTAAGTGATATTCAATATAACCAACAAAATAATCAAGTTGAAGAACAATTTTTTATCCACATATCAATAAAGTGCATCAATTAATTCCTCATTATTGATGGCATTAAAAAATCTTAATTATCTCACTTTGAAGGATATTTAAATCACATATGTACATTTTCAGAACTATTTTTGTAAGAATTTATTCTGAAATTAACATAAATACTATGAATGTTTTTTTTATTCTGCAATAGAGTAAAAAATATAATTATTTGATTGAACCAACGAAGCTTGTCATTTCAGCTTATTTGCATATTGATATGTATACAATCAGTATTACAAAAAGTTCCTTTTTTACTAACAAATGTCAGGATTAGTTTATTGTTTAATCGTCTTGAAAGAATACTAATTTGATGGCTTTTTATGTTGACTCTGTTCTGAGATCTTCCTTAAAAAAAAACAGAATTAGATATTTAAATTTATCACAACTTATTTTATATAATTTTCGTTTTTTTTTTTTTTATAATTTCAACAGTTGTAGAAGCTTTATTATATGCTCAATTATTTACTTCATCATATTTGACAGAATTTGTTTTATTAAAAAAATCAGTTATCTGAAGAATATAAATGGATTTTAACATATTCTTTATTAAACAGTTTTTTATAAGAAGACATCAAAGATGGACACATATTATTCATAATGATTTTTAAATTCTACTCGAATCTTGAATGTCTTTATCCTCAATCACCATCACTTCTATTCGTTATGAGTAAAGAGACTCTCAACATATGATGTGACCTAGACCTCGAAGCGTCGTTTTCACGTCTATAATGCAAGATGCTTGAAAACTTGTAGAAACTATGGAGAAAAAACACATATGTCAAGAAATCATGAAAGATATTCTCTTATAATTTAAAAAATATCTTAAACAAATATGTGAAATCTAAATAGTAATGCAAAATTCAAGAGTTTCTTACATAGAAGATTTGTCATACCATAGACATATTTGCTGAGATATTTATGTAACATTAATAATATTGAAATGAAAATGTAGTTTTTTGTATATTTATTTATAACATTTTATAAATTGTTATAGAAACCTATTTTAAAAGTGTCATTTATCTTGACTATTCTTATTACGTATTGTTAATTGTTAAATTATTGCAGCATAAAATTCATAACATAAATTGTCTTGTCTGTTTTTAAGTTAAAAGAACGTTTTTTCATTTCTTCGGTTGCTTTTTGGTGTGCCGCTTCTTAACACCGATATATTTTCAATGCAAATGTAAAATAATCTATTGAAACGAAATACAAAACGTATTTAGTAAGACCTACTTGTTATTCACGATGAATAATCTACTTGGTTGTCATTATTCTAAATTTCCAAACGACCCCGGTGGTGAACTTTTCATAATAAGTAAAACGAACAACATAAACCTAAGACTAGGTCGGTAATACTAGCATAATTGATTAATCTATCATACACTCAGAATTATACTCTATGTCATAATATTTATTAATCGAGATATAAAAAATAACAATTATGAGAATACATTTAATGAATCAAGGCTTTTTGCTCTCTCCCTTTTTCTGCATTTTTTGAATTATGACTATAATTAATTGAAAGTACTATTTTAATGTTTATCCATTTTTTTGTTTACAACTAAATATGTTGGGTAATATTTAAAAAATATTATCAACAATTCAAACCATTTTTTGAAAAAACTCATAGCGATAAACATCATGTAAAAGTTTAATTTTTAAAATAATTATTTTAAAAAGAAATTTTTTTTGCAAAAATAATCTAGAGAGTTTTTCAATTATAAATTAATTACAGAAATATTTTAGTTATTAAAAAATTAGTGATAAGTTTATAATAAAATGAAATAGAACACCACGTGCATTCGTTTATCAACATCAGTAATCATTAAATACTCACATTGAAATCTTCCATTTTTTTGTAATTCATCTTTCATGCACCGATTATTCATAAGATCTGTATTCATAAACAATCTAAGACTGCGATATTTATATCTTCTTCATTCTTATTAATCATCATTCTTTTTATATAAATATAATCTAATAAACAATAATAATCAAATTTTTATCATAAGGAATTTCTAAATTTTATGAAATCTTTTGAAATTATTAGAAATATAGAGCAAAAAGAGTCTTGCGGGCAAGTATTGCATGAGATTTAATCCCAAGATATAAAAAATGAATTTATAATATACAGAACTCAAATATATATGTAAGTTATTGAAGAGGTCAAATGATAACCCTCTTCACAGTTATAACTAAAAAAGCATGCTTGAAAAGAATAACGAGATCACTTAGTTTACATTTACATAATTCCATATATTCAATTTCTACCATGCAAAATTCTCATTATATAAAATTATTAGCAATTTGTTTTATTTTATCATATTCTTTGATGACAACTCAAAAACACTAAGTAGACCAACATAGAAAAGATTAATGAAAAAAATGATTATGAAGCCAATACATAATTTTTGGAGTAAACTTAAATTTTTAATCCTACGATGTTCAACATCCTTGCAGTTGTTATTTATTGTGTGGAAGGAAGTGAAATTTTGATTTATAATAATATTTATGTAGACTGGTAAATAAAAAACAACTGACAAAATATGGTATTATTTGTCACATGCTGAATATTACTGGACTTCGGAATATTCCACTAATTTATCAGGATAAAAATGGCGTTGAGATGCTAATCTAGCAGCAGGTAATCTCAACTGAGTGATTCGATCACGACTGAAATGTGATTATGATAATAATAATAATAACAAAATTGGTTGGACAAACACCAAATACACATGATTGTCATCAATTAATTCAGAATATTGGTAATTATCAATTATCAACAACATTGAAATATATAGAGATATTTGTTGCATTGATACAGCCTTCGATAATAATTTATGCCATTATTGATTGTATTAATAGCACCGTGATCAATGTTGGAT